GTGCCCCAAGGTACGGTTCAGTTTTTGGTGAATAACTTCGCAAAAAACGGCCGCAGAGCCGCGATTTTGACAGCATCGTGTTCGCCTTGCTCAGGCGCGTCGAATGATATACTTTTTGTTCGGGTCAGGTCAACTTGGGGTGTTGACCTCAGGTCAAGGACAGGTCAGCACCCTCAGGTCACGAAGTTGGTCGAAAGAGGTCATGTCGCATATCATTCGAGTCGGCAGGTCTTCCTGAGTCCATTGGTGGCTTTCTCGACTCGCTAGCTCAATTTGATCGGGAGTTATTGACGAAAAACTAATATGACCTTGATGACGTCATAAATGACGTCATGCAAGGTCAACATTGCAAAAGTGACGCATCTAACCTTGCAAGGAGTTCATCAAATCACGATTCTGTGTGCTTGAGATAGTTGGAGATCGTTCCCGGCGCCAGAATAGCAGTTTTCATTTTTCCCCATTGACTTATAATGGTGAGGTCACGAAAATGACCTGACCTCATATGACCTTAAGGAAAAATCTGAGATATACAAGTTGTGGGACTCATAATGGATACTAGATCCTGCAAGTTTCATTTCCCTTTGACATCTCCTCTGGCAGTGAGGGCGTTGCGAATTTGCGACATCTGAAGACCGTGCAGAGGTTCACTTATGACGTCATAGGTCAGTGATCTGACCTGACCCAAAAATGTGCTTGGTGTCAAAAGATGCGGCTTGGATCAAAGGTCAGGTATGCCAAGCTTCAGCTCTCTATCGCCAGCGTGTTCGGAGCTATCGCGAAAAAACCGTATGGGGGGGGCGGCACCCGCCCCCCCCCCCTCGGCCGACGAGGGTTAAAGTGCGCACAGAGCCGCGCACGGCCGGTCCTCTCACTGACTTCGCTTGGCTACGGGCTACGGCCTGCCACAAACCGTCCAATCTGTAAGGAGGCTCATTAAACGTCAATCGCCCGTCGCGCTTCGAGCCCGGACTGTTATAACCGGAAACGCGTGCTCTCACCACGCGGAGTCTAACGCTCTACCGACTGAGCTACGGGACCGGCAAATCGGTACTTATAGAGCCATTAATACTTTATAAACTGGACATGGAATACACAACTTCAAGACAAGAAGCGGGCAGTATGCAAACTGCCCAAGTTTTTGGGCGGTATGCATACTGCCCAAGGGGCCGGGTAGTTTGCATACTACCCGGGCGGTATGCATACTGCCCGGGCTGTTGGGTAGTTTGCATACTGCCCGGGTAGTTTGCATACTGCCCAAGTTAGCATATGACCCGTAACATATATATATATATATATATATATATATATATATATATATATATATATATATATATATATATATATATATATATATATATATATATATATATATATATATATATATATATATATAATAGAACACTCATAGATGACCTACTTTAGAAATTTTTAGCCCAATAGCTTCAAAAATGGCCGAGTTATATGGCTTTTTTAACCCTCGCATGTGTGCGGCGTTTTCCAGCTTCTAATGTGTAGGGGGGGGGGGGGGGTCGGTTGGACCCCCCCTTGCCGTTTGGCTCCTGATCGAGCTGGAGCTTCGCGGAAAAAACGAGCGTGTTGCCCGTGACGAGAGGAAGCCGATGATGCCCAATTTTAAGGTCCTAGGTCATCGGGTGACCTTCCAGGTCAGGTCAATGACCCGAAAACCGGGAAAATCGGGACCTGTTAGAAAGTCGTAAAGTGTGGCTGCTATGTGGTTTTCCGGGGTGCTGATCACGAATATCGTGTTAGTTTTGATCAGAGATGATGTCTTGAAGCATTTAGACCAGGTCGGGTCAGGTCAGGTCAGGTCAACCGGTAGGGGTTGTGACGGGTATTCGTAATACGTGTCAACCGCCTCGGACAGCTTCGTAACATGTTACGAAGGCACCAAAACTACTTCGTAAATGTTCGAATGGTTGCTAAATTCGAATTCAGCTCCAAAAACTAGCCTAGAAACATGTAAAACTCGAAAAAGTGAACCGAGGTCACCCGAGGTCACCAAAGGTCAATGACCTGACCTGACCTTCAGGTGACCTTGACACCCACCCTAATGCATGGGAGCAACATCAAATCACATGTTTGAACGTTTGAAACCACGAAAAGCTTGCAAACGCACGGCTAATGCGAGCCGACGTACGCCGAATCGCGATTCCGGCCAAACATGGTCTCGGAAAAGAGGTCGCAGGTCAAAGGTCATTTGGGTCAGGGTCATGAAATTTTCAGGGTAGGTGTAAAATTGATCAATGCGAGGGTACTGAAAGTTTCGTCGCGATCGGCCGCTTTTTACGCGAGTTATTCGCGAAAAACCATGGGGGGGTCCATCCGACCCCCCCCCCTACACATGCGAGGGTTAAGATATTTTTGGCTGCTTTTGAGATAATCACGAACAACCTGGAAGGAGGGGAACGCCCCATCCCCTCCCAACACAGCGTGGGTTAACCCACGAGCCGCTGGGGGGGGGCATAAAGTTGCCCCCCCTTTACGTTTTGTGAAATATCTCCGAAACCTGATGAGCTACGAACGCGAAACTTGGCATAGCTTCAAATGAATACCTAGGCAATGTTTGAGGAAAGTTTGGTGGTTGTAGCACCTAAGATGACGTCACAGTGACGTCATGAAGTTTTGTCGTTTTCCGACATGGACCGTTTCTGATGACGCTGAGCATGAAACTCGACTGTAAATGAACTGGACAGCACCTGCTGTCATCCTAAAACATCTTACTACACTTCCATCTAGTTTCTGACCAATAATCGGCCCTTTATATTCGGTCTCATATATGTGATGTATCGTGAGGAATATGAGAGTCGCAAATCTATAATTTCACTTATGACGTCACTGTGACGTCATTTCAAATGGGATCGACACCAAAGTTAGACACAACCTCGGCTAGGTATTCAGGAAGATGTGTGCAAAGTTTCGCTTCTCTATCTCTTCGCGTTGCGACGATATCGTCGCAGAAGTAAAGGGGGGGCAACTTTATGCCCCCCCCCAGCGGCCGGCGGGTGGCGCGGAGGCCCAGCGGCCGCCGGGTTAAGTTATATGTAACACAACACTGAATCCAATGTTTTCATTACAGAGACAGCACTCTGAATTACACAGACATTTCAAGGCTCCTCAAAACAAAGAAAATGAATTGGTTTGCTTAGCAACAAAGTCCTAGAAATCAGCTTCAATTGGCCAGGGGCAAAACGCTTATTGGGGGAAAACGGCAAGTTGGTAGGGCAATCAACTCCCCATCAACTGAATAGGAAGCTCCACCCCTGCAAAAGTCATGCATATTTAAAATTTGTTTAATTCTAAAGCGATCACCCGTTACCTACCTAACTCATACGTAACGATATATCTCGTCTCTTCACTTTGCCACTGACAGCTGCACGAAAGGTTACAGCAACCATTAGCAGCGGAACATCTTCAATTAACCCTCGCCCCGCTGGGGGGCAATTTGCCCCCCCCCCTGTGTTTTTTTCCTAAATAGTAAAAAAACGGTGGCGCGCAGCGCCGCCAAATTTTCAGTACCTTTCCGGGCAAAAATTTGACACCTTGACACACAATGTCAAGTCTTAGGTCACCTTAGGTCAGGAGGGATTGAGGTCAAACTGAGGTCATGTTCGAGCAAAAATTAGCAAAAAAGCATGAAATTTTGAAACGCTCACAAAAGCTACAGTTACCAAGCAAATTCAAAGTTCCTTATATGGTCATATCGACAAAAGGCGGCGCTACAAAACTGCTATCTCGGGTTTTCAAAATTTTGAAATTTTAACCCCCGAAAATAAAAAGTGATTATTTATGTTTAGAAAAACGCAAAAAAATCCAACAGTTATCCGAATTTCGAAAAAACGGAGTATGTGTGATAGTTCCTGCGCTCTTCTATATACATACAAAATTTTAGATCTATACCTCCTTTTTTGGCCAAGTTATAGCGAAAAAAACTTCAAAATTGATTATGTCAAATTATTGAACTCAATTCTTAGCAATTCTAGAGCCCATAGCGCAAAACAAAGACCACCGTTGAACTCCCCGTGACGAGCTGCATCGAATCGATATACATTTTATGCAAAAATATCAACTTTGAACTTTGACCTAACTTGACCTGACCTTGACCTGACCTTTACCTGACCTTGACCTGACCTTCACCAGAACATAATCTAAACTGACCCCTAAGGCTGTCTGACCCACATAATCGCATTTAGCATTTAAAATGAACCATAAAACATGCATCACATGACATTTTCATATTGTGACCCTCAGTGACCTGAATTCTGTGACATCAACTGGTATCAGTGATCTCAAATAACAAAATATGTGCGTGACGAACATTTCCCCATCGATTATTTTCAATGAAATGCATTGTACTCGATTTTACAACCCATTTCTTGAAATGCCAGTAAACAGTGAAAATTCGACATTTGACCTGAACTGTGACGTCATTGGTTTGACCTAGGTCAATGAAATTGGGTCACAAGGTAGTTCCCTGTTGGGGCTATCCAACACCATTTGCCGCTTGTCGCTATGTTGCGTGGTTCTCGAGATCTCAGGGCGGGGGCAAATTGCCCCCCTTCCAACAGGGCGCTGCTCTGCAGACCCCAACGAGGCGCGGGTAAAAACGTTCAAACATGTGAATTGATGTTGCTCCCGTGAATTAGGGTGGATGTCAAAGTCACCTGAAGGTCAGGTCAGTTAATTGACCTTTGGTGACCTCGGTTCACTTTTTCGAGTTTTACATGTTTCTAGGCCAGTTTTTTACGCTTTTTACGGGAGTTATTCGCGAAAAAGCCTTAGGCGGCGGGTTGCATCAATTCCCCCTGTGCCGGCGAGGGTTAAAATGGCAAAATCAAGGGGGCACGGTGCCCCGCTTCCCCACCCCCCTGTTCCGCCGCCTATCACAGCAATATCAGATCGCGTAGTTCGACAGGTTCAGCAATCACATGATAGAGTTCAGCGTCGTGTGTACAAAAGGTCGTGATTACGATAAGGGAAGCCAGCCTAACGGGCGGAAGGGTGCAGCGCAGCATGGTCAGAGGACACGATACCTACCGGGCGAGAAGTGCGACCTGCGTGTGGCCTCCACTGGACCGGTGGAAAAAGGTGGCTCAGTGCAAGAACCAGGCACTAACAGCAAAGAAGGTGAGTCTTTACACCGACTACCTAAGCATGGGCTCGGAGTCGGAACGTCATGGTCGCCGGTGCGGAGGGAATCTGGAACACGTGTAAACAGCTGAATCACCAAACCACAACTTTTTGCTGTAGCGATTTATGTGCAAGGGATGCAATCCAGTCGTTTGGTTGGGCAACTGATCTCAGCGTGGCATGGATGATGTAACTGATATCGTTTCATAATCATAGCCAACGCCTCTGTCAGGTCAAGTTAAAAAAGTTTTGGGTGTCGGGTCAACACACTAAAACCTGGTTAGTTACATGCACGCACGCTGAATGCATTTGACAAATATTATCTTGTTACAACAGGTTCAGCGCGATTACACCAGGAAGATCAAACGGTATTTCCATGAAATGAGGTCATCTCGAATTCGGCTGTCCCGCATTCAGAACAAGTGTCTGTATGGGGTGCTTCTTCTTCTCGGCTGTGCAGTACTGTTTCACCTGGTTGGATGGAGTTTGTGGAGAAGAAAGCTGTACCTCAGTTGGCAACTTATGCATCAATGTTCTTCAGAATACAGCGGAGAGGTACGAGACGAGTTTCCGTCATTCAGCGCTGGCGCCATGTGCTCCGAAAACCTTTTGGGTCACCCTCTGGCCGGCCGGCCCTGTCCCGACCCACCGATCGACGCTGTTTACACGTGGGTAAACGGCTCTGACCCGGAGTTCCAGCGGCAGCTGGAGGTCACAAAGAGGCAGCTCGGCATACAGCCATCGCCCGTGGCAGTGGCGGCCAACCGGTTCGCCGAGAGCGACGAGCTACGCCTCTCGCTGCGTGCGCTGGAGCTGCATGCACCCTGGGTGCGGCGAGTGTTCGTCGTCACCAACGGTCAGGTGCCCGCCTGGCTGGACCTGAACAACCCGCGCATCACCGTCGTCACGCATGCGGAGATCTTCCCCGACAAGTCGCACCAGCCCACCTTCTCCAGCCCGGCGATTGAGTCGCATGTGCACCGGATCGAGGGCCTCTCAGAGCGATTTCTCTACCTCAACGACGACTTTCTGATCACGCAGCCCGTGTGGCCGGAGGACTTTATCTCGTCGAGTGGCGAGTACACCATCTACATGGACTGGCCGATTGGGGGCGGCCCACCGGGGGACCCGTTCTACGGCAGTCTGCAGAGCACAGACCGCATGCTGGAGCAGCGGTATGGCGCCGCTAAACGCCGCTACATGGCGCACGTGCCGATGCTGATGGAGCGCCGCCTTCTGCGAGAGCTGCACGAACTATTCCCCGCCGAGTACGCCACCACATCGGCAGGCCGTGTACGCCAGCCGACAGACATCCAGTTCCAGATGGCCTACAGCTACTTCATCACCTCTGAGCGGCGTGCAGTGCCCGCGGAGCAGCTCTTTGAGGAGCTGGACATCGACAGATCGGGGTACTGGTCAGTCGACGAGATCCGCACGACACTACCGTGGGCGAGGCCGTTGCCGCTGCCGCCAGACGTGGTGAATAGCGTCATCTCCACCTTGCAGGACTGCAGCGGCAAAAACAGCTCCGTCTTCAGCCGCGAGCTGGTGCTCGGCTGCGCGCCGGCGACACACCAGCTGCGTCAATTGGTGGGCACCCGGCCACGCTTCCGGTACCGCCTGGGTCCGCGAGAGCACTGGAGGATGACTACCCTCCGTCCGGACCCGTACGTCGCCGCCGGCGACCTGTGCAAGGCGGTGCGCGACCCTCCCCGCTTTTCGGCGTTCAATAACGAGTTCAGCGGGATCGACGGGAGCTCGGCGCTGGAGGTGTCTCGCGAACTGCAGTATATCCTGCGGGCGCTGTTCAACAAGCCGTCTCAATTTGAGAAGAACAGCTCGTAAGTGTTTTTTTTTCTAACTGGTTTGGCTCCAAGTAGCTTTTTCGACTCAAAACGCGTTTTAGGCAGCGAAAAAGGCAAAAAATTGAACCTGTGAAAATCAAACGTCGCCATAATTTTGGCATGTTAATTATTTCCGATAAACTTCATAGGTATGTGCATTTTGGAACCACAGAGGTTATGCCATGTTGTCGAGCTTGCATTGAAATGTGTAGAGATGTGACCCGCTTCCTCGATTCTGACCGCGGAAAACGAAGCTTTCTAAATTTCGTTGGCAGTTTGTGCCATCGTATGGACATGGGTACCAGTTCCCACGAGTGACGTTATCATTATGCCCATTTTTGGAAGCACGATTTAATAGCTTCTTACCGAGAACAATTTGAATAAATATTTTAGCGGTAAGTAATTACTGGCCAAACGCTGAAGTTGTCAAAACTCACGTGAAAGCTTTGATTATGAACTTGGAGCCAAACCGGTTAGAACAAAACGAACTATAGTCCCAGCCGGAAACCCTGATCCTTGCCCTGATCATACATTTATGTTAACCCGGCAGTTGCTGGGGTATTTCGCCACCCACCGTTTGCTAGGGGGGGGGGGGGGGCGTTAAACGCCCCCAGCCGAGACGCTTCAGATGAGTACTTTAAAGTTGAATTTTGAGGTCACAGGTCGGGTCAAGGTCAGGTCAAACACCTCAAAATCGGGTTTTCAGTAGCATGGACTTCAGGACTTCGCAATGGGCGCCTCTCGTCATAAACTCTGTCAAAACGGTGCACAATCCATCATATAAGGCCTACAAGAGTGTCAGCTCCATGTAGGGGTCAGTCAAACATAGGTCAGGGTCAAGGTCAGGTCAACCGGGTAGGCACATATCACCGAAAATCAAAACTGATATTCGCAGCCTGTGACACATGGTGTACGGGTAATTTGGGGCGTAGAACACGATGGTCACATTCATTTTATCATATGTGTACGTGTTTGGCTCAAAAAGCTCAATTTAAGAAATGCATGTATCATGGTTGTGAAGTAGTCACGAGAAATTGCCAAGATTCAGTTCAAGATTTTGGAAAATGCGGAACGATAGGTAATCAATAATCGATGATAGCCATTTGATTGTTCATGGTATTGGCAGTATAATAGCGTTTACGGCATGTCTGTATGTCTATTCTGTGATTTTATATGATTTTTTAAACATATGCCGTTTTTTGTCGAAAACGCAGAATTTATGACGTCACTAAAACCTCGATATCCTAAAAAAAATTCCGACCGATTTTTTTTTAAACTTTGTTACAATAAACTTCAAGCAATTCCCTACAGGTACCCAAAATTTGGCGCGTCTGCGCCGTTTTTATGCTATGGCCCGGCGAAAAAAGTGGGGGCGTTTAACGCCCCCCCCCCCCCCAGCAACTCGCGGGTTAAGTGTTAACACCAGCTAGAGGATTATTGGGACATTTGTTATGCATACACGCAAATCTAACGCCCTTTCAGCATTTATCCTACGCAGCGAAAAATCTGAAAGTATTTTTTATGCTTTTTTAAGGTTTGCAGACAGCCGCACGTAACGGCACCTGCCGGGAGCAGTTGTCGCGTGGCAGTTAATCGCGATTTGAATCATCGAATAAATAGTTGGTTTAGTGTATTATTGCTTGTTTTGAGGTGATGTTGCGGTCACTGGCGGATCCAGGCTTGCGTTTTTTTTTGGGGGGGGGGGGGCAACTCATGCAGGAGCCAAACCTAGGGTAACCCCAAATCCTGTTTTCTCATCGGATTTAGGCCACTTATTTTTCGTCACAGCCCTGACACTATGAATATTTTTTTTTTAACTAAAAATAAAAATCTATAAATGGTAGCCCACCCGACCCATGCCTTTATATTACTTTGTAAACACTTACCATTGCTTTTGTCGACCAGTTAACCCGCTTCGAGTCAGTGCTTGGGTCCCAATTTGCGGGCCGGGAGGTGGTAAAACACCCCCTGACTAACTCGGCTCCTGGGCCACGCACTGATTGAACTATGTTTCATTATCGCTTGGGGGAGGGGGCAAACGGGCCACTTTAGGCCTCTGGGAAGGGGCATAGCCCTAAATGCCCCCTCCCTGGATCCGCCAGTGTAAGAGACCATTGGAGCTGCAGTTGGGTACCTCAGACGTCAGGGTACGCCCTCAGATGTATAGGACTCGCATGGAGACCTCTTATGCTATAGTGGACTGAAAGGACCCAAAGGGGCCTGTCTAGTAGGGCTCCCGGAGATAGACGTGGGACCTCAGGAGCCCGCCAGAGCCCCCAATGAGGGATAAGTGAGGGATACCAAGTGCCTGCAATTTCATATTGCATAAGCCATAACGCCTTTACAAATCAATATATTATGTATCAGTGGCAGATCAAAGGGGGGCCACATGGCTCATGACCCCGCTTGGTGCCCGGGGGCACCACAGGCCTGTCAGGGGCACCACCGGCCTAACAGGGGCACCACCAGGCCGCCAGGGGCACCACAGGCCTAGCAAGGGCACCACGGGCCTGTGAGAGAGAGAGAGAGAGAGAGAGAGAGAGAGAGAGAGAGAGAGAGAGAGAGAGAGAGAGAGAGAGAGAGAGAGAGAGAGAGAGAGAGAGAGAGAGAGGGAGAGAGAGAAAAAAAATTATTGGATCTTTGTACACAAATTTAAAGATAACATACACGATTGGCGTAAAAGCGCCCGAAGCGCTCAATACGAGACGCCGTTCGAGAAAAAGTTTTGTACAGCATCTAAAACACTCTTGTAGGGGCCCCACAGGCTTGTCAGGGGCACCCCAGGTCTGTCTGGGACACCAGACACCTGCCAGGGGCGCCGCCGGCCTCGCAGGGGCACCATGGGCCTGTCAGGGGCACCAGAGGCCTAGCAGGGGTACCACATGCCTTACAGGGGCACCACCGGCCTTGCAGGGGCACCTTGGGCCTGTCAGGGGCACCACAGTCCTGTCAGGGCCCAGGGGCACCAGCGGCCTAGCAGGGGCACCACAGGCCTGCCAGGGGCACCACCGGTCTAGCAGGGGCACCACCGGCCTCGCAGGCATCACGGCATCACGCAGGGGCACCTTGGGCCTGTCGGGGGCATCACGGGCCTGTTGGGGGCACTTTAGGCTTGTCAGGGGTACCACAGTCCTGTCAGGTCCCAGGGGCATCAGCAGCCTAGCAGGGGAACCCTAGGCCCGCCAGAGGCACCACAGGCCTGCCAGGGTCCAGGGGCACCACAGGCCTAGTAAGGGCACCACGGGCCTGTCAGGGGCACCTCAGGCTCCCGTGCCCCCCCCCCCCCCGGATCCGCCAGTGATGCCACACCACGCGAAACACCGCCAACTACCAGTTACCGCGCCATAAACACGTGACAACAACAGTCTTTTTTTTTAAAGGTCGACTCCACTCGCGCAGCTTTTGACTGACCCTCACTGCTACCATATTGCTTCCATATTATGCTGTGGAAAGCGTTACTTCACCAAGTGGCTAAAAACCTCCATCAAGGCATATTTTCTTAGCATTTTTTTTACGTTTTTTTTTGGGGGGGGCAAACAGGCCACTTTAGGCCTTTGGGGGGGCATGGCCCCCGTGGCCCCCCCCCCCCCTGGACCCGCCAGTGGTTGCGGTAAATGGCGTAGCGCCAATCCGCAGCTGGAACAAAATCGTGAGTTCAGAGTTGCTGGATGGGGAGAACCAACGGTAAACCGACCTATGCGCCACTTCTTCATTGTTCAGCAAGACCGTGTCAGGTAAGGCCGTTGAAATGATGATGAATGATAGTAATAGGGGGAGACCCGGAGGCCGGAAGGTATGGGCCGGTTTTGTGAAATGATAGGTACAGCCCACCGCTAAAGTAATGTAGGGTTTTACCAATCTCAACGGTTGGCTTTGACTGGCGATTGTTTAATGCGGAGTGATCGAAAAGAAGATGTCAATGGCTAAAGTTGCAGCTGCAAGGGTGACGATACATATAAGCTACATTCAAAGTTTCATTGTAGTCTGGCTAATCGTTCCTAACCCGCGACCGCCTGGGGGGGGAGGGGTCGGTATGGGGGGGGGTCGCCTGGGGGTAATGGGTATGTTCTGCTTCAGAAGCAGAACATACCCATGACTGAAACCCCACATTACTTCTGCTGTGGACTGTACCTAATTTTCTTCCATGCGACAATGGCCAGGCGGCTGACTAGGCGCGGCCATAGCGCGGGACGCGACGCCAGCGCTACCTATCGGTAACACCAGAGAACTAAGGTCAGCGAGTGCACGGATTTTGATGGGTAATACACCTTTTTGCGTTGTTCGATGGCCTATCAGCAAAACCCATTCGTCCGATCAGCACATAGGTGGCGCCAGTGAGAGGCATTCCGGCAAAACCTTCAGCATATGGGCAAAACGGAATGCTGATCCCACTCCACAGTCCACAGTTCGTCAGTTGGTAGAACATTCGCTATTCGCCATAACTGATTGAATTCCGGCAAAACCTTTGACGATTTGGATAAATGCTTCGTCATTCAGTAATATCCCTTTGTCGTTCGCCAAAAAATCCCCATGCTAATTTCGGCATTCATCATAACATTTCGTCAAAACTAAAAACAGATCGCCCCTTTACAGAAAATATAAATATGACCACGTTTATACAGTGCAGTGCGAGGCATAGGTGGGCGAAACTCGTAAGTCATTTATCCATATAGAAATCGGTAGCGTTCATGAGCGCCATAGGTACAATGTAGATGGACGTAGCTGGCATGTTATCGGCTGGTTGAACAATGAACAGGCAACAGAGCGTTTGATAAGTCAATCCCGCCTCAAACCAGGGGGGCGACACGGCTATTCGCGCAATGTATTAATTTATGGGCCGCGCGGGGCCTCGCGATGACGCGGCTGGAGGCAACTGCTCAGCGCGCTAGGATACTTCTGGCGGGGCGGGGCGCTGAACGGTGTGCAATGAATGGGTTATGGTCGGGCCGACAGAGATGAGGTATTGAATTTGAATTGACATCAGCAATCGGGTGGGGAAGGAGAACGTTCCTAATCGAGCTTGGGTTGGGGAAAGCCGAAAATATCGCGATCGGCTCATAGCTCAGACAGGGCCGGGTGCCGTACCATGTGTTATACAGGGTGATCCAAAAAAAATGGAACCCCTAACTTAAAATATCTGTAAGTCCGAACATTTTCATTTTATTGACAAATTGCAAACACCATTAGAAAGAGCGTTCAATTCTCTATAAAACCAAATGGATTGAACTTAAATATTACTAGGAATATTACCCTAGTTATATGCCTATAAATTTGTGTCACGAAACTCAGTGAAACGGTTTTGAACATTATGCGCAAATCGCGCAAATCAGTGATTTGCGGTTTGCTGTTCTGACCGTTCTGACCATGTCGCATGTTGAAGGTTCATGAATAAAAATAGCTCATTCACGTGCTATTGTAGTGAATTTAAATTTCAACAGAAGCAAAAAAATAAGGTCATTCGGGGCGTCATTCGGTGTTGAACCCTTGGTTGAACCACCATGAGACCAACGGCTGAACACAGGTGTCTGATAAAACTTCTTAGCATAGGTGGAGAATTGTGACCAGCTGGGGGTGCTCGGGCGCAGCAAATCCGCCGCCGCCTAGCGGTGACCTTGACCCACG